TTAAGGCTTCATAGCTCTTGCTCGAGCTTCTAGACTTCCCCCCTTGGGCAGTACTCCACTGATATAAGGTCCTTCAGCATATCCTAGCCCATTTTGTTAGCCCCTACTAGGGTGAGTGATTTGACATGGCCATTCCACCACGTCAGGGCTCTATCAGAGAAGGTGAAAGCAGCAAATTTTACCTTGCTAACCTCCGGGTAAGATCATATCTCAAATATCGACTTGGTCTTTTTGATCCGTTACATCAAGGCAAGGACTCCTCCAGTCCCATTGAAGGTCCTAGGTTTGGAGTTGGTGAAGTCCCTGTAGGTGCACTCTCTTGGACGTGCATGGCTGTCACCTTGGTTCGAGTGGGTACCTATTCCCGCTCCATTAGTACCACCAGAATTCATCTGTGTCATGGCTACGGTTATGGCCGCAGTCACGGTAGCTTGAAACATTACAGCATCAGACTGCGGTGGAGGTGGTAGTGGCGGTGGAGTTATTGGAGGATTTCTTCTTGGACGTTTGCGAGGTGGCATCTTTTAGCTATAATGGATGAAACGATGGTAAGACTTCCATAGAGTTTATGAAGATAAATAGTATTTGAGTTAGATTATAGTTTGATAGATGAGATCTTTAATTGGGAATAATATCTATCATAATAGTTGGTATTGAAACTACATCGAGTCTAGAAAATTTGACCCATGAGTAGGTCTACATCATACCAATAGAGGGAAAACTTGATAGTGTGAAATTCTAAGGAATTAGTACTTGCAGACATGAATATTTACATAAAAGAGTGCTACTTAAAGCATCTACGGAGGCTAGTCCTTTAAACCAAAAGAAAAGGGCGAGTAGAGCATCTTCTACTAACGATGGGCACCCCTTGGACAAATCCTTAACTCAGCTAGCTGATGCAACACACTAAGTAGGTTTCTCTCGTATACTGTCAGACGTGCTCGGAGCTCAATGACCTCAGCTTGAGTTGCAACCAATTCCCACTGTAGGGCCTTATTGTGGTTCAGGATTCTCGCACGAGCAGATTCAAGATGGTGAATACGGTCCGTATTGGCGGTGGAGTCTGCCTCAAGTTGTAACATCCCGAAATGTAGGTACAACTATTTAACCCTTCTCCTTTTTCAAGTTGTCAAGATTAGCCCTTGAGTGAGAAACTGTTGCGAATGAGTACGTTGGGTGTACAGGAAAGTACGTTGCACGTACTCATGCGCTTAAGTTGGATGTGGACTCGCCTAAGTACGCTGGGCGTACCCAGAGTTACGTTGGGCGTAGCGGGCCCTGATGCAAACCCTAATTTAAGGCTTGTGCACTATAAAAGGAATGCTAAGGCCTTATCCTCAACCACCATTCCAGAGAGTGACACCCTAAGAAAGCATTTCCTTCATCCTCAATCTTGTGTGTGAGTATTTTGAGCTAAAGGTGTCTTTGTGTGTTAGTGAAGAAGGAGGAGAGTAGCTTGTGGAGGCTAGAGTTTGAAGTTCAAGCTTGGATATGAGTTTTCAAGAGGAAGGAGCTTCACTTTGAGGTAAAAAGCTCAGAACTTTCCTCTTTATTTTGGTTTGGTGTTTTATGGTCCATTTCTAGGGTTTAAGTCCCAAAGGTGGAGACTTTATGAGCAAGAAGGGCTCCATGGACCTAGATCTGTCTCGTTTCAGTGTTATGAGTGATGTAGATCCATAAAAATCCCATCTTGGTCGTTGTTATGGAGTCATGCTTGAGTTATGAGCTTTAGAGTGTTGAAAGTGGAGAGATTTGGGTGTTGGTGACTCTCACAGCCATGCAAAGGCTTAAAGCCACCAACTTTATGAATTAAGAGGCTTAGGGGTGGTCAGATCTGAAAGTTGGTCGTGGGTCTTAACCGTTTAAGACCCCAAAAAGCTAAGGAGTTTGAAACTGGGAGCTACGCGAGGCGTAATCCCAATACGCACAACGTAGGGGGTTGCGTTCCTCGTTTCTGTGAGGTGGCTGGGTACGCTCAGCATACAGGTTTGGTACGCGCAACATAACCTAGAGAGTTGACTTTTGGTTGACTTTTAGGTTTTGGTCAATGTTAGGGTCTTTGAGCCTTGAGAGGGGTAAAATGGTATTTTACCCTTCTGAGAGTGCTAAGAGAGGGATCTATTCTAGCCTTGAGGGTTGTATTGATTAGAGTGCTTATTCCATGTGATTAGGTAGAGGCTAGACCATATTTTACCAAGTTCGAGATTACCGAGTTACCCGAGGTGAGTCTTCTCACTATACTGTACCTGGAAGGGTACCTATGTGTGACCGAAAGGTCTTATATGCTATGAGATGTATGTGCTATATGTTGATATGTGATATGTATGTGTTATGTTTGCTATGTATGATAAGGACCGAAAGGACAAAATGATATGGACCGGAAGGTCAAAAGGACATGGACCGGAAGGTCAGGAGGTTACGGACCGGAAGGTCGATACGGATGAGACCGGAAGGTCTACCAGGATTTGGAACGCAAGTCCCCTGAGACACTCGGACCGGAGGGTTCCACATAGTTATGGCCTGGAAAGGCGTATGTGTTGTATGTGGTATTTTGGGGAACTCATTAAGCATTTATGCTTACAGTTGTTGTGTTGTGTGTTTCAGGTACTAGCGAGGACCGTGGGAAGGCGCTGGCATGATCCGTATATACTGAGAAGATTTATGTATTTGAAATCTTTTGAGATTCTGGGATTTGTTTATTATGATGACATTCGATACAGTTGTTGGATTTTGTTTTTGGTAATTGAAAATATGATTTAAAAATGAAAAATCGTTTTGAAATTTACATCGTTACAAGTTGGTATCAGAGCCTTGGTTTGAGGGATTTGGGTGCAACTTCAGATGCATTTGAACTCAAATTGAGTATTTGAGAGATTTTTTCATAAATAAACAATTTTTCTAAGAGAGTAAAGGATTTTGGAAAAAGGCAGAACGGAGAAGTGTGTACGATCAGTCAACGCCCGAACTGTGATTTCCCAAAATTCCCTTACATTATGTGTTATGAGATATGTTATGATATGATATGCATGCTAGAGTAGGCTAGGTATTCATATTAGGAATATAGTGGCCTGATTTGTGGTGCCTTAGCCTAGGAAGACTTCTACTGCTATTAGATGCTTAAGAGTGAGTAGGTAGCAGTGAGGAGCTTAGGAGAGGTTTACCGAAGGGTAGCCCATGCTAGCGAGATGTAGAGTACTCGTGAACTGAGATCCAAGGAAGAGGACTTGGGGTGAATACTGATGCGGTGTGGATGGTAGTATAAGGGCTTGTACTACCGAAAACACCATATCAGTGCGCAATCCAAGTGAGAATCCTTGGGCTACTAGGGAACAAGTAGGGATGGGTTATCGAGTGCGAGTATGCTCGAGCGTGTCTCTGATTTTTTTTTATGTTGTATTTCAGAGAGACAACATGGTTGGGACATGCCACACACCTAATATCAGTGGTGTTAGCGAGGAGGAGATCTGCAGGTTAATTCATGAGGAGCTAGCTACTGCCATCCGAGTCGAGATTCTGGAGATGTTTGGGTCTATAAAGACCACATTGATTGAGACTTTCGATGAGCGGTACGCAACGATGACTGAGGTTGCGGCTGTTGCAGCTACTGCAGCTGTGGTTGCTGCCAGGCCTCAGGGAGGTGACTCGTTGTTGTTTCGGGAGTTTAGCAACACAAAGCCACAAGAGTTTAATGGGATGCAGGATTCGATCGTTGCGATGAGATGAATTTCTAGTATTGAGGGATGCTTCTACATGTGTTCATGTCCGGAGCATCTGAGGGTACGGTTCGCGCTGAACCAGCTTCGCTTAGGAGCGAAGGACTGGTGGAAGTTCGTGACGGCGAGCTTCACTCTTGCAAAGATTTCTGAGGTGACTTGGGAGAGGTTCACCACCATGTTCAGAGACGAGTATGTTCCCCCAGTGGAGAGGGAGCGGTTGGCTCAGGAGTTCTTGACCCTCAAGCAGGGTACTGATTCGGTTACTATGATTACCAGGATGTTTCATGAGAGGGCGATGTTCTGCCCTGAGCAAGTGTCTACCGAGCAGGCACGCATGAATCGGTATTTGATTATTTTGAGGAGGGATATTCGGGAGTTCGTATCAAACTCGACTTACCGGACATTTGCTGAGCTTCAGGCAAATGCCCAGAAGAGGGAGATTGAGTTGGAGGCTCAGGCTAGGGAGGAGGCCGAGTCTCAGGGGATGGATCGGTGGCCGACACAGTCTTAGCCGGTAGCCAAGCGGGCAAAGCCTTCCGATTCGAGACCTGGAGGCCAGAAGGGTCGCACTTGCGGAAAGTGCGGCAAGGGGCATGACGGGGTTTGTCGATCAGGTGCTTGCTATAAATGTGGTATGGAGGGGAATATAGCCAAGGATTTCGCCAAGGGATTCATGGTTTGCTTTCATTGCAACCAGGCGGGCCATCGAAAGGCCGAGTGTCCTCAGCTGCGGGGGACAGCACAGGAAGCACAGCAGGGATCTGCCCCTACCGTCGTGCGAGCTACTGAGGTTTGGCCGGTGAAGGCCGTGGCACCGAAGGCTCTCGGGAGAGCTTTCCAGTTGACAGCGGAGGAGATCCGTGTAGCACCCGATGTCATGGATGGTATGTATTCTTTCATTTATTTATGTTAAGTTTGAGGTGTTGTGGTTATATTATGATATGCGTAGGTACTTTTCTTGTGAATTATGTACCTGCTTTGGTGTTATTTGACTCAAGTGTGAGTCGGTAATTTG